CAGCCCGACCCCCGGCAAGCGCGGCAAGAAGGGCAGCCCGAGCGCGCAGTCCTTCGAGGAGCTGCAGAGCCAGCGCATCCTGGCCAACGTGCGCGAGCGCCAGCGCACCCAGTCGCTCAACGAGGCCTTCGCCGCGCTGCGCAAGATCATCCCCACGCTGCCTTCGGACAAGCTCAGCAAGATCCAGACGCTGAAGCTGGCCGCCAGGTACATAGACTTCCTCTACCAGGTCCTGCAGAGCGACGAGATGGACAATAAGATGACCAGCTGCAGCTACGTGGCCCACGAGCGCCTCAGCTACGCCTTCTCCGTGTGGCGCATGGAGGGCGCGTGGTCCATGTCCGCCTCCCACTAGCGCCGCGCCACCCACGTCCGAAAAGGGTAGGTGCTGCGCTTGCGATGGGCGCCCTCCACCGCGGGGGGCGGATGGCCTGACCCGCGCATCCCTTCTCGAGGAGGCCGGGCTGGACGCGGAGGCGCGATGGGGAGCACTTTTCCTCCTAGCAGCAGATGGGGGTCGGTTGGGAGGCTCCCACGTCCCAGGGGTGCCCTGGGGCCTTTTACAAACTTCCATGCAGGGTGTCCATCAGAGAAGGGCAGACTGGCAGCAGCCGCATTTTCTATTCTTGGTGTCGTGCGGGGTCTGTGGGTGACTTTGGGGGGAGTGCGCATCAGAAGAACCGCCTGGGAGGGGCAGGGGCAGGAAGGTGGGGGGCAGCTGCCCTTTGGGTCCCTCCTGGTGGTGGCGGTCGTGCAGGCTTGTGGCTTCTCGTTCTTCTCGGGAAGCGAACACCCAGTTCTCCCTGGCAGTCCCGTTCTGCTGTGGGCAGGTCCCGTGGGCGCCGGAGTGCGCACCCTGGGCCCCCAAGTTTGCCTGGAGAGGGCGGAGGGCACTGCCCTGGGCTGGGAGCTCCGCGGCCAGAGCAGCCCCCGAGCCGGGGGTGGCCTGGGGTCGGGAGTGCAGAGGACGGGCCGAGGCTGATGCGCGCAGGTCGCGGCGCGGTGGCCGGACTGACCCGCTGCTGGGAACCCGGCTCCCCGCGGGCAGGTGGAGCGGACCTCGGGGCCGGGAGACTCTGTTCCCGGCCTTGAACCTCGTCAGTCTGGGAGGGGGCTCTGCTCCTGCCGCTTCCCAGCGTCCAGCCTGCGAGGAAGCGCCCGGGGTGCTGGCAGGAAACAGGTTTGAGGGGAACGAGGGCCGGTGCGGGTCGGTCCCCCGGGAGCAGGTGAAGGGGACGCGGCTGCTGAGAGCCTGGGAGCGGGGCTTCCTCGGGGAGCGTGTTCTGGGCCGCACCGGCGCCTTTTCACCAGACACCTTGGAAGTCCCCTCAGACGAGCTCTAATCGCGGAGGCGCCGTCAGTCCAGCAGACTCGGGGCGATGGCTCCCGCGGGCCATGGAGGGTGCAAGATGTATTTAGGGCGGGGGTGGGGAGGGACGTGTGTTACAAAAATCCTCCCTACTCAGTATGTTTAGTTTCTTGCTCACCTTGCAAGGTTTTCTTATAAAAGCCCCTGCTTCGCACAGAAGGAATTTAGATCACCCAGGAGCGAGCAGCCGCCCACTCTCCCAAACAGATCTATTTCTTCTTTATGTGGTTCCATAATATCTGCAAATGTGTTTGTTGTGCCCACGGAAAGCTGATGTAGCTCAGGTGGACTTTATTTTGTATTTTTTATTTTCATTTCCGTGCCACTAAGAATTCTGAGGCGGTAGCCCTCGAAAGTAACGATCGGTGTATAGGTCTGTAACAACGAATTTCAGCGGAGAAAACTTATGGGAAACAGCTCCTATCTTTGCCAAAAGCAGATGGAAAGTGTCTTGATCACATATTTCCCTGGGAAAGAGGGTTTGGATTGGCTGAGGACTGAAATGCTCAGTGGGATAACACATTCATTCTGGGTTTTGCTGCCTAAATTATGAGCGTCCATTAGTCAATTCCATTTACCCTTTAGACCATCCACAGTTTATAGCACAGATGAAATAAGAACAAACAGATGAGGACTGTCATCTTTTAAAAATATACACACATAGCTTTGTTTAAGGAAAATGCCAGCAGAAGTTTCGTTAAGATTTTCCTCCAGAAAATTATCGAAAACAAATAGCAGGAGCTGTACCTCGACGCAGAATTTAGTAGGGTCATTTAAAATTCATTACAAAATAATTGCACTCCTAACACTGACATAGATCGCAATGAAAGATTATATAAAAATAAAAGGCAGTATTTGTAATCAGTAAATGGTAAGAGTTTGGGGGGAAAAAAATCCTTAAAATGTAACAGATAACACATTGAGCTGGAGAGCAAATGATCCCTATGGGGCCCATTTATTTATGTTTTTATAAAATTGAATCTACTTGACCAGTTCCAATAAACACGTTTCTTCAAGCAGATAGATTCCCACCCTGCCCGAGCAGCGAGGGTACGGGGGTCCTTGATGCAGGAATGATCTGGGCACACCTTGTGTTTACTTGCCGGGCATGTGAAGCAAAAACTTTGTATTCTTTTTGCTTTTAACTCATTAGTCTCTTTGGGAATAAATGCAGTCACCATTGGTTTGATTTCCTGAAGATGTTGCTAAATGCCGTTTGTTATTTATCTATAACATTTTAAAGAAACACTAGTTACATGTATCACCAAGGAATTTCTAGACCTTTCAGGAAATGGTATGTGATTTTAATATCTAATGTGAGATGTTTTCACATATATATATTTTAAAAAGCTGTGTCTATGTGAACAGCAGCAACGATAAAAACTCTAAATTGCCCCTTGATATAAAGAGAGACACAGGAAGTCGTATGGCCGGTGCTGGTATTTATCCTGACTTTCTTCTTTGGCCTGGCATTTAAAAACACAGACAGACAATGAATCAGGTGTCTTTGGACAATCAGCTGGGTTCATCTAGTGGAAAACTCTCAAAAGAGTTTTCAGTATTTTCATTAAATACCTGCACTTCAGGAGCAGGGTCCGAGGCGCCTGGTATGGAGGGTGCATGGAGGTTACGATTACTTATTGGACATGGCCCCTTTTGTTCTGTTTTGTGGTTAACGAAAACATCTTCTCTAAGTTCTGCAAAGTATGGGCAGATTTTTAGTGGGTTACCATACTCAACAAACTAGTTTTTCTCTGAGAACTTGTAGTTACTTTGGAGGGCAGAGTACGACCCTCTCAGTATCCAGGATGCGTAAGCCTTTTCCTCCCTCCTGTAAATTTACTTCTTGGAGGTGTTTGCTAACTGCTATAATTGGATTGATAGCTGGTCTCAAAAGAAAATGAATTCCTCCTGGAGAACGGAAATGCAGAATTTCAGTAGAGCTTTTGATTGGTCAGAGGAAGCAGAATGAAAGACTGAGCTACCTGAATAATATGCGATGTTTCCTTATAAAATACCCATCGGTAAGATCCTCTGTAGGGAGTTGACCTCAGTCATGTGGCTATTGTTCCCTCGAATGTCAGTAGAAAGTCTGGCCATCCATCGGGCCAGAGTAGGGGCTGGAGGGTGGCCGTTTGAGGTCCACTGAAATACAGTACTGTATCGGGCTTTACTAAAAGCTGCATATTTTCAAACAAGTCTTGAGCCTGAAAAAACTGAGTTTTCATCATCCCCACTTCACTGTACTCTGGACAGACGGCACTGATGCCGGATTCCTTTTGCCTGGCAAGAAGCTCGTAAAGTAAACTCTGTGAGCCGAGCACTATAACTCATAGTTTTAGTTTAAAGCTGGGTTTAAAAAAACAAATATTTTAATAAGCCAATTTTAAAGGCTGAACTTTTATGACAGTTTTTAAGCTTCGTGTATATATTCATCTATTCTCACTGGTGTCTTTAAAACCATGAATGCACGCTGGAATGTCTGTTTATATTTGTGTCTTTTCATGGGAAAGGATAAATGTGCTGCAAAAGGCAAACCAAAGACAAAGCCTGCACCAGCAGAGAGTTCACGAATGAGGCAATAAAACCCCACGATGAGATGAACGTGTGACTGTAGCCAAGGAACAGAAAGCCGTAAAGAAGCAATAGCATCTAAGAGATATAGACAGGGGTGCAGTCAAGATGAAATACTGAAAACAGAAACTGCTTAACAAGGTGTTCCACGCGGCCACCTGAGGCTGTGCACGTGATAGGATTGTATGGAGTGCGCTTGTGCGCACACACACACACACACACACACACACACGCCGTGCATGTAAAATTGGAGAAAGTGGAATACGGTCTGGAGATGGTATAATGTCAGTCTCCTGGCTGTGACATTGTATGGGGTGCTGCAAGGTGTTAGCACTGGAGGAACTGAGTGACGAGGATGGCGGGATCTCTCTGTATTATTTCTTACAACTTCATGCGAATCTGTAATCATCTCAAGTAAAACATTTTTTAAAAGTTATTCCACAAGGATTAATTTTTTTCTATATCCAAATGAGCAAGTTACTATACCTTATCTCAGAGTAATAGACTAAAAATATGCTTTGAGAAAATATCCCCTTTTTCCTGATGTCATTTGTATTATTGCTCTTCGTTTCAAAACAGGAGGAATCTCAACACATTTCCCATATATAATTAATTAGGAATGTTTCTTTGTAATTATTTAAAGAGTAGAATTCCAGAAATCGAGAGAAAATTACCAATCAATATTTATTCCTATTCCAATAAAGAATATATTTTTCAAAGAAATGTTAGGAAAAACTTACCTGAAACTGGCCCATTTGCTTTTAGCTAAGACTGTATTGACTTACATCACACACACAGACACACACTCTTCTAAAGGCACCGATTCATAAAAATTATTCGCTATGTAGTGTAGACTCTAAAAGTTTAATGTTCAGAGCCACACACAGTTAGAAGGAGGAGAGAGAGAGAGAGTGAGAGAGAGAGAGAGATATCAAATCCCTCAATTCAGTCATGGTTATTTTAAATTAATATTTGTTTGTCCTGGGAACATATTTTGTACTTGGTTCAACAGTAAACCTCCGAATGCAACTTAGTTCTATTAAATGTGCCTAATTACATGCTAGTGCTGGAATGAGCTGCAGGGACATGTGATGGAAGAGCACTGTGATTTTCATGCTGAAGTAAAGCCAGGCACAGTGCGATTTTTCTCCAGTGATTACTAACGGTTGTCCATTGAAAGGAGACTTGAATCAGAAACGGGAAAAGCCAGCATGCAACTTTCTTCTGACAGGAGAGACATTTTTAGTGGTTAGTTGAAAATAGAGTCATTTTAAATCAAAACAGTGTTTTACGGGCTTTGCATACCTGTACTCTTTTCCCCCGCAATGTGCCGGTTTGGAATCACATGCTCCTGTGATTATGGGTAAGGAAGCACATGGCAGGGGTCGGGGGGAGAGGGTCTGAGCGCGTGCTGTCTATCGAGGCTGTTTGGTGTTCACCCCGTTTCTCATCGGGACACCTCTGTCATCTGACCAGGGTGCGAGTTTGATGACTCGCTTCTCCCGCCGCCTCCTGTGGAATTGTAATTTTACTTCTCAAGTCCTGAGAGCAATGCCTTCCACATCAGGCACGACCCTCCTTCCTGGAGGTCAGAATTTCTCCATCAATTAAATGAAGGGCAGGGTTGAACCCAGAGAGCTTTCAGTTTTTCAAATTCAGTTGTTCTGGAAGATATCACTTCCTTTTAGCTCACATTCAGCCTTAAAAAAATTAGCCATCAGCATCTTTGGGGGGGGGGGCTTATAAATTCAGTGATGTTGTCTGGCATCGGGTTCGTAGTTCTCACTGTTTAATTCCTTGGCGAGCTCACATTTGTTTTTCTGGCTGTGCAGGTCTGGTGTGTGACTGATGGGAAAGATTTGGGCGAAAACCTTGATTTTCATTAACCCTTTGATGGTGACCAAGCGTCAGACCCCAACTGCATGGCTGAGGTTTGGGGTGTGGTAGCCCTCAGAGCCCTTCCCAAGTGCCGGGCGAGCAGCTCAGATAGGACACGGAGGGCTGGCCTTTGGCTTGTAGGGGGAGGCGTAGGGAGCCTTTATCTGACCTCCCCATGGAGAGCGGATGCCCAGACGTTTGTTGTGAATGCTGTTTTTCTGTGCTGTACAAGTAAAAAGCCCAGCGCCTTTCTGTTAAATTCTCTGGGAGCATGTCTCTCTTCTTGAGAGGTTCGAGAGTTTTCTGCCTGCCTCAGAGGCAAGTGGGGGCTCCGGGAGAGGCAGCTTGTAAAAGAAACACACTCCCTAAAAGAAAACACGGGCCCGGGTTTACAGCCGGGCGCGGCGGCCGCTGTGGGTTCTTTGTGTGTTCCACTCCGAACGTTCTGTAAGTCACAATGCAAACAGGCAGCGCGTTCCTTCCATCGTGAGATCTGGGAACAAATGCCGAGCTGCTCTTTCCTCCCAGGAAGCTCAGTGCTTGCAGTAGCTTTGGTTTGCAGGCGTGCCGAAGGCTCAGACGTGAAAAGCCTCGGGCTCTGTGTGACTTTCCGGACCCGTGGGTGCGAGGGTGCCTGCCACCTAGTCCTTGCCTCCCCGGACTTGAACTTGGAGGAGCAATAACCAGGCAAGCAGTCTGGCTGGGTTAGATCTAGACCAGGGGTGGGCAAACTTTTTGACTCGAGGGCCACAATGGGTTCTTAAACTGGACCGGAGGGCCGGGACAAAAGCATGGATGGAGTGTTTGTGTGAACTAATATAAATTCAAAGTAAACATCATTACATAAAAGGGTACGGTCT